CACGTGCTGTTGTCGTGACCGGCATGTTTTAGTCTGGTTTCACACGCTAGCTCTCCGACACCCCTGATCTCGATGGAGTTGTGTCCATTGACCGGTACCTCTCCTTCAACCCTTACCTCGATGCCTTTGTTTCCATGAAACGGTAGCTCTCTTCTAACCCCGATTCCGATTACTTTGTTGCCATGAACCGGTAGCTCTCCCCTAACTCCGATCTCCACGGATCTTTTTACGCGAACCGGTGCAGGCCGCGGTGAAGAAGTGGTGCGACGACTCATCGATAGACCTGGTCCTGACTTCGGGGGGCACTGGGTTCGGGCGCCGAGACCTCACGCCGGAAGCCATTCGCCCCCTGCTTCACAGGTCAGCAGTGTGCGACGTGGTGACGGTCTTCTTGGTGCGAGAGCTGCTGCGATTAATCGCTGTGGTGGAAGCCCACTTGCCACCAACGGCCTCCGCTGTGTCTCCTTACCCCCCCCCCCCCCCCCCCCCCCCCCCCCCCCCCCCCCCCCCCCCCCCCCCCCCCCCCCCCCCCCNGGCGGTATGAAGAAAGGCGTTGTACTGGTCACCAACCCCGGACGAAGGCATCGCCCCCCGATCACTGGCTTACTTCGTCCCGCCCGCAATGTTTGTTCTTTTCCCTTTCCCGCTACTGCTGTACTACTGGCCCCGTGTATTCCTGCCCCCTTGCAGGGAAGCGCCTGGCGTCGTGCACGCGATCTACCAGGGCGGTCTCAAGTTCACCCCGCTGGCGGTGCTGTCCCGCCCGGTGGCGGGCACCCGGAATAACACCCTCGTGGTGACCCTGCCGGGCAGCGTGAAGGCGGTGAAGGAGAACCTGGGGTCGTTGGTGCCGCTGCTGCCGCGCATAGTGAACCTTCTCAAGGGGAACCCCTGCTGACATGAAGGGGTTTCGATGAACACAAAAGAAGGAGACGCATGATGCTGAAAGGGTCTGCTGTGCGTGCGAGGTGTTTTGCCCGGAAGCATCATCGCACCGGTGCGCGGACGGAACGACGACGACGACGCCACGCCCGATAATGGTGTTGTAAGACTCTAGAAGAATCGCGTTCGAGTTTGTGGGGTCTTCCCAGCTTAAGCGCGCGTGAGGTGGGAGGTGACGGGCCTGCTAAGGCGGATTTTGGCTCATGAACGTTCAGCAGCGTTTGTTTTCGTGCGTTGCACGGGGAGGGACGGCTGCCGGGGATGTCAAAATTTCGAGGAGCAACGGATTTGGGGGTGGGCTTGGTGGGGGGCCATGTTGCCGTCTGTGTCCAATTAATTGAAAAGTGTGGGACTTGTGTTGACGTGTGTGTTGGGGTGGTGGTGTGTTGTCTCTCTCTCCGGTTAGGGCTCGTAGAATTAAGTGTCCTGTGATGTATCGATGCACGATCTGTATCAAAGGCTTCGTGTCCCATCAGACAAGCCGAGCGACGTACCGCAGGGAACGAAGGGCGCTTTGGCGCCAGCTACATCAGCCCCCCACGGCCAAGAAGGGTATATATACTGTGTATGGTGCCTTGCGTTGAAGCCAGCTCTCGAGCCGTCATTGCCGTGGCAATTTTTTTTGTCGACAGGTGTAAAAAGCATCCGCATGCTTTTCGTGTATTCGTTATTGTTGGAAGTAAATACAGGCCGGAGGTTTTGGGTCGACGGGGTTTCGCACTTTCGCGCGCAGTTTTGTCCCCACGTAGACCAATTTTTAATGCATTTGTGCGGTTTCCGCCGAAAACTTGGAGTACACTTGAAAAAGAAGGTCACCACCATGGAACAGCCTGGAAGCAGCACGGAAACTTCCGTACTCGATAAGGTTGGAACAGTCTGCGGGGAAGGAGCACGGCGTATAGTGTCTCGGAGGTTGGCAACCGCGTGCCTTTCGCAGCAGCCAGCGGTGTCGTGGGGATCAAAGTCGAACGAGGGCGGAATCCTCCTTGGGTGTGGGATGGTGCAATGCGATGCCTCTCCCTCCCTCCGCAGGCAGCTTCCGAAACCGCCACGCGGCAAGAGCTTGCACCTGTTTCGTTTTCCGAACGACAACGATATCAACACTTGGCTTCCGCCCTCATAGACAGCTCCTGTATACCCGAGCCTACTCCCTCTTCTATCCTTGCGGAACCTCCTGCTCTTTGCGACTCGGCGCCATCGCCGCCACGGTATGCATCGTCGCAACAGCTAACGGCCTCTTTGCTACCCCTGCTGCTGTCGCTGTGTATTCTACCCTTGCTGCCGAAACCACCGGGTATATCACCATCATCCGCACGACCACTCCCACCCGACATCCGCTGCTCCGTCCGCACGCCAGCAGCCCCGTCTTGCGCACCATGACTTAGATTCCTACTACAGGCGACGACTGCCGCTCCGTGCCCGGCAAGCATGTCGTCTGGAGCAGCACCTGCCGCGGGAGGAGAGGGCGATCTTCGAATACGGCCGCTGCTGTTTCCACTGCTGCTACTGCTCCTGTCGCTACGAGGACACCGGCGGTTATGGCTTCGGAGGAGACGGCGCTCCCCTAATACTTGAAGACTACCACTCATGTCCTCGAAGCTTCCAGCTCCATCGTCAAGACGGGAACCGTAAGTGAACGACCGAGCGGTATCCATCGACGCCCCGTCGCCATCAAAATCGTCCTCCCCGTCCTCCTCTTCCTCTTCGTCCTCCGCCCCCATCCCTTCGTCCGCGAAGTCCGAAACGAGCGCGATAAAACTGTAGCCAGCCGTAGCACGAGGTTTTGAGAGAACAAAAGGGAATCGCGCGGGCGCCAACAGAACCGAGATCAGCACCGCAGCCAACGGAACGAGACAGTGACACAGAGAGAGACAGAGACAGAGACAGGAAAAGGGACGCGGGGTATGATCGGTCTGAAGAAAAGTGCAAGGACGCAAGCATTGCAGCAACAACAGGGCCCGGCCAAGACTGACGCCGCGTTTCTTTTCAACGACGGCGCTGCCGAACATTAACAGTACTCTGTAATGGTGCTCGTGCGCCTGTACCACGCGATGATGCGCCAAGCGAGAACCACCATGAGCATGCAGGGTGCATTGCCTCATTTAGAATCATGGAGATGTATTGTGTCCAATGCCTCCAATGCCTCGATACTTGATCTAGGGCTTCAAAAGGCAAGACCCTGCATAATGAGTCCGCCTGCTTGCCTTGGGAATTCCCACGAAGAGATGAGGGTGTGCATGAAACAGTCCCCCCTGCCACCCTTCGCCTGCATTTCCTTCTCGCACGCGTCCCTGAGCTGGGTCTCCGTCAACCCTTCCGCTTGCAAAAACTCTAAACACGCACGTAAAAAAAAAAAGCGCAGAGGGGGGAGGAGGGGAGGAGAAATGAGGGAGAAGGAGAAACGTTTCAAGTGGAAAATACGTAAACGCAGCCCCGATCGGTGGGATGGGAAGGCATGGACAGAAAATCTCTTTCTCGTTGTACATATTTCTTGTTCTAGAGCAACATAGCGAGAGCGCGCCAAGGGTGGGTGCATTTTCCCGTCTTGCCGATGTTTTTGCTGCTGCGTACGCAGCAGCAGCCGTTTGCGAATGCGTCTCACAAAGACCCTCACAAAAGACGTGTTCGGCCTCCCTTCTTGTAGACGGAGGGAATCCCGAAGCACTCGCAAAAATTGGCTGGCGAGCACCGTTCGGCAGGCGAGCACAGCCAGATCTCGAGTACCGGGCGGCCGGCCCCTCGTCGTGCTTCTCGCTTCGGCTGGCTACCTACACTGCCAACGGCCGGCGCGGGGCACGCGTGACACGCCGTAAGTCACCTTCGAGATTCGACTGCAAGATCTTCAGGAACTTCTGGTACAGCTCGTGGACCCGTAGGCTGAAGTGGCGGTCGCCATCTTGGTACCCCTCCGCACCCTCTCCCCTCGCCGTGCTGGCCTCCTCCTGCTTCTCCCCCCCCGGCTCCTCTCGCTTGGCCTTCTGCTCCAGCCATTCGTGTTGTACGGTCGACCGCGAAGAGTCCCTTCGGCGGAGTTCGAGCACCAGTTCCTCGGCGTGCTGTTCTAGGAAATCGTTGAGGTTCTGAGGTGTTGAATATCACGAGAGAGAGAGAGGGCGGGGGAGGGGGGCAGGAAGGGAGAGAGTACCATTGAGCAAAGCAAACTGCACGCACAAGTGGAACAGTAGGCGGACAGGTTGGTTCAGATCGCCTTGCTTGGTGTCTGATTGGTGCTCCTATGATCTTGTGTCGTACACAGTGGTGGTGAACTTTGGCCGTTCCTTGAACGCCGTGCTAGGAGTTGCGGGCTTGGTCCCTCGTGAGAGAATGCGACGCCGGTGACGATATTCCGCTAGGACACCGGTACGGGAAATATCCCACAGAGAGCTCCACGGTGTACTCGGGGAGCCTGGAGGTACCATCTAGGGCAAAGCATTTTAGACAAAAATCTCGAAAGATATGCGTCGTTCTGATTTTATGTGATGCCAAGGCCTTTCTTTTGCCTTCAGCAACGAAGTAAGGTTGTTCCGGCAAATGAGCACTCCCCGGCTTGTAGTCGGGGTGCGAGAAAATCTGGTACACAGGTTGGTGATAATTTGCAGTGACAACATTTACCTTTGGTCCACAGGGCACAGCCTCATGCTTTCATGCTTCCGACTGCCAAACCTTGTTCGACAGTTCATCTGGTGAGACGAAAAACAAACTCGGAACTCGTGAATACGTTGTGCGAATCTATATAGTCTAGAGGCATCATCAGATTTGCAGGCACAAATATATTCGGGGACCTCCTCCAGATTGTCGTCCATCCATGGACGCATGCTTGGCCATAGATGCTTGTTCATCTAGACAATAATACTGTGGTCCTCCGACGGGTTGGTCAACAACAGATGGAAAAGGGCGAAATGACCTTTCGCTCATCAAGCTCCTTCCCAGCATCTCGTCTACGGCATGTAGCACACGTCAAGTTTTTGCGTCGCTGGTAGAGGACGACATTGTCGTCCCTGTTCCACATGCAACCTTGTCGACCTTGTCCTGGTTCTCCCAATATAGGTTTGCGCAACGGCACGGGATGTACCGATTCATGCCTCTGTCTCGCCTACACGAACGTTACCGTAGATAACACTAAAGGTAGACTACCAGGTACCATTGTACAGCACTACAACACAAAAAGAAAGTACTACTCGTGGAGCGTCTCAATGTAGACTTCAGACTGCTACCGGTCGTGGAGGAATCGACCTAGCTGTGACAATCGCTCCAGGGTGCGTGCGATGACCCGCAACCAACACAGTCTCGTGAATGCATGTACATATACATACGGAATGCATGGTGTCTATATGGTTACTAGGTATGGGGGGGTAATGAGCCGCGTGGTGCGACTCGATACCTTGCAGTAGTCTTATCTGCGATGCTGATGGTGCGCGAATCCCGACACACACCAGCGTGAATCGTTTGTGTACATGTGGCATCATCCCCCTGGCGGCGAGCGTATCACACATCACACGGTCGAGGAGCACGACCNTAACAACTGAGACTAGGAGTCACCACGGGCCGGAGAGAATGAGGTACACCCCCTTGGTTCAATCTTGGTACTGCACAACGCAAGCAGAAACAAGGCACTGGCACAGAACAAGAGAAAGAAAAAAACAGAGAAGAGAAAAAAATAAAAGGAAACAGTAAGGAAAGAGAAACAAAATGGAAGAGAGCGAGGAGAAAAAGGGACCAGGCCGAAAATGACAAGAAATAAGAGACAAAATAAGGCACACNCCCAGCATGAACCAAAAACAACAAAAAGCCGTTCATGGTCATGTGACGTCATGACTTGACGCGATAGGCCGAGAGGCCCTGCTGCAGCCCTNAACGCAAGCAGAAACAAGGCACTGGCACAGAACAAGAGAAAGAAAAAAACAGAGAAGAGAAAAAAATAAAAGGAAACAGTAAGGAAAGAGAAACAAAATGGAAGAGAGCGAGGAGAAAAAGGGACCAGGCCGAAAATGACAAGAAATAAGAGACAAAATAAGGCACACGGTGGAGAGACCACTTACGAACAGGCAAACACGCAAACATGGCCACCAACCAGCGACACATTGTTATGGTACGTCATCACTAGTGGGGGGTTGGTGCAATGGTGCAGCGTTAAGGNCACGCAAAAACCTGAACCGATCCCGCGGGGAACCATCCTGATAACTCACAGCAGCAGCAGTAGTATTTTAGACCCTCACGCCCTCGACGGATTATCTCGATGATGTTACAAGTGTAATCTGGACTTGGGAAGGTGTGTTATTTGTGTTATCATCGGGCTGCTCTTTTTGAATCAGTTGGTTGGACCCACGTAGCATCAATACATTCCCGCCAGGTTACACATGGCGCATGCCTACACAGTATACGCACGGTGCACAGGTCGTATAGGCCCGGCCCCTCCTGCTTTTCACAGCTGGTTTCAGACCAGCGTCTCAGCGGTGATGCGTCTCTGTCTGTGTTTTTTGTCCTGGTCTGAATCGCGCGCGCGCGCGATCTCCGCTTTTGTGCACGCCTTTTCGCGTAGAAACCCCGGGGTTGGGGAGCGAAATCTCCTACGAATATAGGCTACATATGCCGGTGAAGCACGGCCATCTGCTCTCGGAGCACGACGAAACCGGTGTGGAGAAGAGCGCGCTATTTTTCTTCTTCCTCAGAAGCGAGCAGATCGTCAATCGGTGCCCTATGGATCTCGTTCTGGTCCCAGAGGTGTGCTAAAAAGGCTTCCCGGAAACCAAGTTTTGGGGCCCCTGTTTCGCGCGGCGCAACTTTCGGCGATGTATAGAGCCTTTTTTTTCCTCCTGGGGACGAAGGGAAAAAAAGTCGCTCGCTTCGCTCGCTCCGCGGCTCATTGTTGTTGTTGTTGTTGTTGTCTGTACATTAAAAACCGTTCCGATCTCTCTCTACCCAGTACCTTCGTTTGTCCGTACTGATCCAACACTCGACGCGGTCGATTCCCGTGGTCGCAAGCTAACTTACCCTAAAAAGGTACACTCAAATAACATGACCCCGAGGAGTCCGCAAGTCAATAGAAATCAACGACAGATATTCTGGAGTCCTCCACTCCCTCTGCGCGCTATGCGATGTATAACAACTGAGACTAGGAGTCACCACGGGCCGGAGAGAATGAGGTACACCCCCTTGGTTCAATCTTGGTACTGCACAACGCAAGCAGAAACAAGGCACTGGCACAGAACAAGAGAAAGAAAAAAACAGAGAAGAGAAAAAAATAAAAGGAAACAGTAAGGAAAGAGAAACAAAATGGAAGAGAGCGAGGAGAAAAAGGGACCAGGCCGAAAATGACAAGAAATAAGAGACAAAATAAGGCACACGGTGGAGAGACCACTTACGAACAGGCAAACACGCAAACATGGCCACCAACCAGCGACACATTGTTATGGTACGTCATCACTAGTGGGGGGTTGGTGCAATGGTGCAGCGTTAAGGGGGGGGGAGTTCGCTAAAGAAAAATCAATCCGGCGCGTATCGCGCCCCTCGGTCCGTCTCTTCTCGTTTGCTTTCTTCCCTCGCCGTCTCGTCCGTCTCCTGTCCCCCTCCCGCCCCATTGGTTGTTGGCTTGTGGTTTTGTTTGAGCGCCCGTTATCGGTTGGCCTCTTCTTCCTTCTAGTGCCAGGAGGTCATTAACCTCTCAGCTCCCTGCAGCACCGCCGCATGCCAGGCTACTCCCCCCTCCACCTTCGCGGCTTCCGTCCACTTTAAACTTCGGTGCCGTGTCTTTCGGTACCGGGATTCCGAAACAACATGGATCGGTTTTCGTAGATCTGTGGTCGGCCACGAATGCCTTCAGGTCGTCGAGCACACAGTTCGGCCAGTTGTGTTCCTGTCCCCCTCTACGTCGCTTCTCCCCCTCTGCCAGTTCGCCGAGCATCAGTCGTTTCGGGAGTCGCCCGTCCCGCTGCCTTGCCAATGCTCCCGCGAACAGTGGCGTCGTTGTCGGATCGTGGCTTCAACGCTCTGGCATTCGACCCTCTTCAGCGTCTGGGCGTAAGAGAGCTGCCGGTAGGTGTCTTTCTTGCGCTTGTACCCGATAACTCGAAGGAGCAGTCGGTGGTGTATCGACCGCAGCGTCTGAAAGTGGCCGCTGAGTGGTGACCATGTCATGCACCCGTACAGCAGTGCTTCCATCGCCTCCGCCTGGAGTAGGCGGATCTTGAGTCGGAATGGCGCTTTCGGTCTGTCGAAGAGCTCCCGGCCATATCGCCTGAGGCACGCCCACGCTCCTCTGCTCCTGTAGTTGATCTCCCGCGTATGGTCGCCATGTTCGTTGACGAGGCCACCGAGGTACCGGAACTCGGTCGTCTGGGCGTATTTGTCCTGCGGCTTCGATGGTCAGCGGTGGAGGCGGGGGGGGCTGTGATGTTGTAGTCGGCTTATCCCATCAGGAGCGTCTCCGTCCTCTTCTCCGACACCGTTAGCCCGTACTCCCCGAACACCTCAACGATGATGGTCATCATTCTCGCCAGTCCTTCTGCAGACCTCGATACGACGCCGGCATCATCGGCGTACAGCATCCCCCATACTGCCCTCCGTACTCGGTCAAGGAGTGTCTCCTCCTCCCCCCCCGCTTCCGTCTTGCCTTCCTCCAACCACACCAGGCTCCGCAAAACAATATCATCCTCGCTGAATCGGATGACAACGACCTCGAGGACCTCGGCGAAGAAGATGTTGAACAGCAGTGGGGATAGCACACATCCTTGTCGCACGCCCTGTGCCACGAAGAACCAGTCCGATAGTTCTCCGTCGTCCATGCGCACCCGGGCC